ACGGTAAAGCCACGGATTTAAAGTTTAATGACCCCCTCAAGAAATGTTTTCTTCATTTAAGGTGTATTTTTAGCCACTTCTATTTGGATTTGAAATGAAATGATATTTTTAAAGTTTGCTTTTTTTTTGAGACAATGTGATGTCAGTAGATGAAAATAAATTCTTTTTTCATGGTTGGGTTTTTTTGGATTTTATTTTATTTTTTATCGGTGATACTTTCAGTGAGTGTTTGCCATTGAAGTCTAGAATATTAGAAAATGAAAAGAGAAGCTGCTGCTTTTTTGTTGAAGTAAATCAATATGGAATGCTTTTGAATGTGAGGCTAATGACAAACTGTTGAAGTAAAAATATTAATAGGTTTAAATATATTTAAGAATCTGCTTACACAGTTTTTGTACGTTTGTGTGATCTTTGTTTTTGTTTCAGGTGATCTATGCCACCTGCTTACAGAACATACAGCTATAAATTGGCACTTCAGAGTCTTTCAAGCAGTTAAAAGGAGAAACGTTACCTGGAGAATGAAAAAATAAAACTTTACTCTGCACAACCGTATGATTGAAACCACAGTCCAGCCCTCCTCAGCTGTTGGACATGCTTGTGTCCTCCTGCCCCGTTCACCTGATGTCGCAGTAATACAGATGGATCGTAGTAAAGAGGCGGAAATGGAATTACGACGATCCTCCAGCCCAAGCAAGCTGAGCAAGAGCGACATGGATGCTGACAAGACCATGTGCCACAGCTGCTGCATCTGTGGTAAAAGTTTCCCTTTTCAGAGCTCCTTATCTCAGCACATGAGAAAGCACACGGGCGAGAAGCCCTACAAATGCCCTTACTGTGATCACAGAGCTTCCCAAAAGGGCAACCTGAAGATACACATTCGCAGTCACAGAACAGGCACTTTAAGTCAGGGACACGAGGTGGAGATGGGAGAGGTGCAGCTCGGGGAGGTGGGAGTTGCGGAGGGCCTTGGTGGGTGCACCAGCCCCACTAAAAGTACCTCTGCCTGCAATAAGATCCTGAACGGTACCGCTCAGGTAGATAATGGCAAGATCTTGTTGAGAAGCAGCAAGAAGGAGGCCACAGAGGCAGCGCCTGCTGAAGAGGATGGCAAGCTAACCTCTCACCAGTGTACCTTCTGCAAAAACAAATTTGAAAGAAAGAAGGACCTTGAGCAGCACCTGCATCAGGTCCACAAACCATTCAAGTGTAGGTTGTGTAGCTACATGACCTTGAGGGAGGAGACACTGTTAAACCACATAGAGAAGGACCATATAACAGCTCAGGTCCCGAACGGGGAGGCGTATACAGAGAACTGCAAGAGTGAATTGAGTGCAGGCGAGTTTCCTTGTGAAGTCTGTGGTCAAGCCTTTAGTCAAACCTGGTTTCTGAAAGCTCACATGAAAAAGCATAGGGGGTCATTTGATCATGGGTGCCACATTTGTGGCAGAAGATTCAAAGAGCCCTGGTTTCTCAAAAACCACATGAAGTCACATGGCCCAAAGACTGGGAGCAAAAACAAACCAAAAAATGATTTAGAGCTCATAGCCACTATTAATGATGTGATACAGGAGGAAACGATTGTGACTGGCCTTTCTCTGTATGAAGTTTGCACCAAGTGTGGAAACCTGTTTACAAATATGGAAAGCCTGAAAGCACATAATGCTGTTCACTACAGAGCTCAACGGAGCAGCACCGGGGAAAAAGCTGAGGGCTTACTTGACGGGAGCCTAAACCCCTCTGTAACGAAGCAGTTTTTCTTACAGTGTCTGAATCTAAGACCATCTGTAGGGATAGACAGAGTTTCAAGAGGACAGCCTGGGAAAAGAGTAGCCGAGCTGGATCCAGTCAGTAGCTACCAAGCTTGGCAGCTGGCCACCAAAGGAAAAGTTGCAGAGCCATCTGAGTATGTAAAATATGTGGGATGGGATGAGGCTCTGGCGGATGCAGATGTGACTTATGACAAGGATAAAAGAGAGTATATTCTTGTCAACCAGGAGAAGCGCAAGCGAGATCAGGATTCACCTAGCTCTTCCAGCAACCCCAAGAAGAAGAGCTGCGCCAGTGGGCGCCTGGAGAAAAACAGCAGCACACAGCTGGGGGAGAGCTGCCTCGTCGCGCAGAATGACTTGGACTACCGGCCCTCCTCACGGCAGAGCCGACGGGCGTCCCAGAACAAGTCCACCGAGTGCTTTGAGTGTGGCAAGATCTTCCGCACTTACCACCAAATGGTGCTGCACTCCCGGGTGCACCGCAAGGAGCGGAGGAGCTGCAGCGAGAGCGGGACGGCCGTGCAGCCTGACCGCTACGGGTTCCGCAGCGAGGAGGCGCACTCGGGCTCTCGGCAACCTCTGGCTTGGGTGAGGAGGGGGCCGAGGAGAGCTCGGAGGAGGGAGGAGCTGAGCCCTCCTTAGGTAAGGTCCTTCCCGATGTTGCTCTTCTCTCTTTTCCCCTCCGCTACTTTTTCCTGAGATCTGCTCATCTCCGTGCCTCCTGGCATGCCAGGGGCGATCCAAGTGAGGGACGAGCAAAAGGATGCTGGAGACTTAAATGCAGCATGGATCAGGTCCTCTGCCTGATCGGGGTTGCTTATTTTCTCGGCTTGTTGATTCAGCATTTCTGGTGTAAGTAATAAAAGTGAGCTCACAGGAAGTCTTTGTATGGTGCAGGTAAATTTGTATTTCAGTGAAGGACACCTGAGAAGTATCTTAGTTACCCATAGCAACATGGTTACCTCAGCTGGTAGCTTCAGTATAATAGTATCTTTCCTGGACATCTTGGGGCCTATTTTAGCCAGATTTATAGACACCCGATGCAATGTTTTGCCTTTAGCATGCAGGTGTAGTAAGAGCACAGCTTGTGTGGTGTAGTCCCAAAGTACATAAACTTGTTAATCACCAGTATGAGAGGCATTTTTTTCTTCTCTCTTTCTCTGCTTTGCTTCCCGAGCTTGTGTTTATAACTCCGAACGCTGTAATTAATCTCTCTGGATTAAAGCAGTCCTTTGAGTCCAGCACTACTAAATGGAACAAATTATTCCCCAAATAGCAGCAAAGTAAATATTTAAGAGAACACTATTAAGCACTTTTGTATCATTTTTTATTTTTGTTGTTCACCATTCTTTGTTTATAATACCCTCTTAGAAATGTGAGATTAACCATTCTTTCCTTACTAGCCTTGTGATTTGCTTTGCTTTGTTTTTTTCTTCTGTTTGGCAAACTATAATTTCTTCCCATTTTCAGTTCTTTTTTTGTGAAGAACATAGTTATCTGTAGAATTGAACTCATTTTCAAGGCCTTCTCTGATGAAGAAATCAGCTGTAACCATTCTGAAAGAGGGTGGGTTTATTTATTTAGCTAGGTTCTTTTAGGATGTAGTTAATGTTGTGCTTTCTCCACTGGCTGCAGATCATGCAGCAGCAAAGCAACATTTTCCAGGATTGTGTATTAATAGTTACATATTTTTCAAAAGAATAAAAGCGGTGAAGCAATGTTGGTTTTTTTTTTTTTTTTTTTTTGGTCATTAATCAGCTTTTGTAAAATTCTCCTGGTTTTAGGAAAGCTGAAGTTTGGGCTGACACTGTGTGGCAATATAACTTTCTAAATGTAAGACTTAGAGGGAAGAGAGTTAGGATTGAAATTGTAAAAAATGAAACCCATCTGTTTGTCCCTCAAACTTACAGGAAAGATCTTAAACTTGATTTTCTACAACTTGGATCAAGGCCCAAATGGACAAATTGGGTGCGCACTAGAATAGAAACTTAAATTAAACCAAGAACTCCACTTTTTTTAATGCTTTCTTGCCCTTTCCATAAACCACAACTCCAAAAAGTCCTAGGAACAAGCTGACTGACTGAAATATTTTTACCATGATTACTTGCCTATTTAATAGGCTCAAAACTGGGCTTTCCCATCTGGTGTTGTATTTAGGAAATTAAAAAAAGAAGTTTATGGGAGTGCACTGACTGTGTGTGAAAATCCATCGGCTGCTGTCTGAAACACCTCTCCTTGCAATTTGGATACAATATGCAGTTACAAAACTGAAGCTTTGTCTGGATGTAAATGGGGCTGCTGTGTTTCACTGGTGCGACGTGCAGTGGAGACCATGGCGATGGAAAACCACCTCTGTAGAGAGAGGCTGAAAACAGTGAAACCCTTTTCCCACGTTGTTCGAACGGTAAAGGTGTTCTTCTGCGCTCTCAGTGTGAAACACTTCATTTCTAAAGAGAATAAAATCTTTCCCTGTCCCAGATCTTCCCCCAGTTCAAGCTTTGAGCTCTTGTGTCGCGAGTGAAAGGTGAGAGTTTAAGTCACACAGCAGCTTCTCTCACAGTAATTAAAATGACTGGCTTAACCAGGGCTACTAGGCAACTCCAGGAAACTCGTTTCTTTGGGTGCCAAATTGGTTCTTATCTTCTTCACTGAACAGTAAAGAAGCAGGAAACTCAGCCTAAGTGTAGAGGTGCATCTTGGAAAATGGATACCTTTGCATTGATTGGCCAGGAGAGCGGGTACTGCGTTTTGTATTCACTAACTTCACAGCTGAAGAGCTGGTTAATTAGAGGGGTTGCTGCTTGGTTAATAAGGACTTTTTTAATCTTATGACCAAGAACAATATTATCCTTTGTTCTTACACAGTTTATTTAAATAAAACCAATAATTATCAATGAAGTGGACTTTTTTTTTACAAGTGACAGATATTTCCAATTCAAAAAAAGATAACAAAGAAGGCAGGAATGTTCATAGGCCAAGATTAGTGAATTAATTTTCTCAGATTTCACTTTTCCTTTGTAAATTTCCTGCTACTATCCTTATATTGTTTTCTAGGGGACTGGGTCCTTCTATCCAGCAAGCTCTAGGATTTGCTCTTCTGCAAATTGCTTTTTTGACTCAGGAGGCTTTCTTTTTTCTTCCTCTATGAACAAAAGCCTAAGGTTTATAGAATATAGGCCAAATTCTACCGTCATGTACGCTCTTGTTAAAAATCAGATGTTTCAGTATGGCCCTTAAGTGCATTTTGTCCTAGAAGTGCTGTGGTTCGCTATCCTCTGCTGTGGCTTTTTTTAGCTGTTCTTGCTGGTGAGCCTTTTCTGTGAAGAGCCGTGCTCCAGCCGTATGGATGGCAGCCACCTCCAATGGATGCAGGCGAATGGTATTCTCAGTTGTTTTCCTGACCTTCCTGCTATGGTATTATTTTTACTCAGACTATGGTTAAGAAAATTTTGTGCTTATTTTAAATAATACAGATTTTTTTTCCACTTTCATACATTCCCCCTACTCCCCTCAACTTTGACACGCTACTAGGTTATCCTGGGTCAGAAAAAGGGCTTGATACTGCCAAGTGTTGAATGATCTGCTCATGGTTCACCTAAAAGTACAACTTTGTGTGTTTAACTCTTTTTTAAAAAAAAAAAAATCTGAGTAGTCCTGTTGACGTGCAGGTTAGTATGTGGTTTGCTTGGTGTCTTGCAGAAGGGAAGGTTCGGGCGCCTCTCCCGGTCGTGGGAGGCCAACAGATGTGCATTCACAGGAGACAGCTGGGGAAGAGCAGTGGAGTTTACTGGGAGAAGAGCAAGAAACACACTGCACATGTGCAGTGGGATTGAGAGCCTCCAGGGTGTGCTTTTCCTGCCCTTAACACACCAGTAATTTGTCTCTGCTACATGTTGAGTGACAGAGTGATTTCTCGGGCATGGGGTTAGTGTTTGCAAACCCAGATTATCGGCTGCCAGTGGGGAGCTAGCTGGTTACAAAATGTTGTTCATCTGGTTTGAAGGAGGAGAAAAATTCAATGTTTTTCTAATGTTACTTTTCTACATAGGCAGAATATAATATGATATCTGTCATACAAAGGTATCATATGACTTATGTATGTATAATGTATATATGCATTGTATGATGGCCATGTGGGAAGCAGTGATCCAGAACACATTCTCTCTGTTAAGAGCAGCCCCATGGATAGTTTTCAGGTCTGCCTGCTGCAGATGAAATCTTCCTTTTTATTTGCCATTCAAGCCACTAGCAAATTGTGCCTGAATTTCCACTAGAGTTGCCTCTGAGTTATTCAAGCCACCTGCAAATTAGTTGCTCAGCACTTCCCCAAATTAAGGCTTTTCTGTAAATTTCATTTTTTAATTAAAAAACCCCAGAGTTAAAATTGACAGAGTAGAAGGGGATTATACATACAGCAATAAAAGTGGAAGGGAAAATACTCTGTTTTTACTTTCAGCTTCTCACCTAAAATATGTTATTTGGTAGGCCAAAGCAATAATTGTGTCAGTGTGCACGTACACACATGTGCATACAGTGGGCAGTATTTTTAGACTTAATGTGGGAACCCTCATTAAATCCCACCATGAAGAGTACTAAAGATGTGAGTAGCACAAAGCAGAGTTGCTGCTCTCCACATCACATTTGCTTTCAAAACAAAAGAACTGCTCTCCAATTTGCTCCTCCTGTAGCTAGATCCTGATCTGCGGCAACTGAGATTGTGTTTGTCTCTTGATTTGTTTTCTTTTTTGATTCTCCCCCACCCGTGTATATCCTTTTGAGTATACCTTTCCCATTGAAAAAGGCGAGGTCACTGTGTATTTAGCATTTAGGGTGTTAGTTTCTTACAGCAAGGCACTATAATCTATTTCAGACCTGAAATTAGGAAGGAAATATAAATTTTGAGGATGTGACTCCTGCTTCTAGTAGGTGGGAAGATGAGAAAAAGAAGTGAAAACAATTTTAATACCATTTGGTGCTCAGCAAATGCGTAGTAAAAGACAGGTCTTTTGATATCCCATTCTAGATCTTGGGAAAGTAAGAGAATGAAATAAAATTATTTCCTGTTGCATGTAATTACCACATTGGAGAGGAAGAAAATAATAAAAGTAAATCTAGGGCGAAAAAAAAAAAAAAGATTGCTATATATGGAATAAAGGAGAGGAATGCTGCTTCTTCTAGCCTGACCTGATCAAGGAGGGAAGCAAGAAAAAGGAGACTGTGTTAAACATTAAAGGGAATGCTGCTTTCAGTGAGAATCATCTCCATTTTGTTTTCTTTCTTTTTCTGCCTCTTCTCTCCCTTTCTTTTTTTTGATCTTTTTGTTGTCTTCTTTCAAACTCCTCAAGATTTTTGAAATGCTTTAAAGAGAGACTGATTCATTCTTACTCAACGCATGCTGTTTTTATTATGCTGGCTGATACAGGAAAGGACTGATTGAGAATGAAAACCATTGTGTTAGGCCCTGTACAAACACAGTTACGGGCTTGAAGAGCTTATAATCTGCCTAGGTAAGACAGACACAAATTGGTGGAAAGTGCAGAATACCAAACCCAAGCGAACGGCGCGATGCCTGGCCACGTCGTGCTTGCGTCGGGAATTCCTAACGGTAAGTTGGGACTTACCTGGGAGAAGATCAGCTTGAC